GAATTTTTCCGGGGCGGTATCTGTGCGCGCGGCGTGACCTTTTCGGTCGCCGGGCGTTATCCGTAAAAGCGTGCAGCCGCCGCGACGGTGTACGCGTGTGTCGAAAGAGGAAACGAGGCGACGGGCGCGGCCGAGTCATTAAATCTTTGCGCTCGCCCGACAGGACTAATCTGCCTCCATTAAGGCTAATGGGAAAATCGCGAGAGGAGGCGCGCCCGTTCGCCCGACGAGCCGCTGTCATCTGCGTGTCGAACCGCCGCGCCGGTGTCCCCGGCTAACGGAAAACGTGTGTCGCTGAGTTTTCACTTGGCCAACGTCGCCGCGCAACCCTTGCCGCGCGCCGCGGCAAAAAGCCACCCCCTGCGACTAAAACCGGGTCATTAAACGGCCGTACATCATCGCCGGGACGTGACACATCCGTGAGCCTGAACGCCGCTGCGCGGCCCGACTCATTAGCCCCCGGTATTCGTCCTGCCGGGGAGGAGGAGGGACCGCTTCAGGTTTGACGAGCGAACGAGTCCTGCGGGAACGGTGCCCGGGTGCGCGACGAATCCGTTCAGCTTGCTGCTCGGTGATCGATAATACTGCGAGATTCTTCTTCCTCGGATGGTACCCTTTTTCCGCCTTTTTGTCTGGGGATTGTTCATTTCCGATCGAAACTTTTCGTTGGTATCTGTTGATAGTACACCGTGATGTAAGCCTGTAACTCCGCGCGGCATCTGGAAACAATTTTGTTTCCTACGAATGGTTTTTTCGTATTGTTGTATTTGCTATATTGCATTAATAAGATGTCAGATTAGAAATTGCTCGGAGCGCGAAGGGTTGATGTCTAAAAGTTCATGAAACACTTTTGAGAGAGAAGCAAAGTATTCGGATTTAAAACGGTGTCGTCGCGTTGCTTCCAAGCCCCAGCCCGACAGCCATGGCTCCCATTGCAGCTCATTATCCAAGCGAGCGAGCACGGGGCACGACGGTCGGTTCCATTCGAGCCGAAAATTCGCTGGCCGCTAAAACAATCGGACGCCACGTTCGTTTCGAGGGTACCCGTGGATCGGATGTACCTGGGAACGGGCCGGCTAGCCGGGCCGCGGCGTAAAGACAACCGGAGGAGGAGACGGACACATGAAAGGGGCGCCGCGGATGGCTGGCGTGGCTTCGCGGTTGATTAAACCGAAACGCGACCACGGGGCAGCAACTTGAACGGCTCTCCGCGAGCCATGTGCGTGCACACGCCGCCACGGTATCTACGACCGGGAAGATGGCGCCGTCGCCGAAATGGCTGCACCTTCGCTCGTTGATAAAACCGCGCGAACCACCCTACCTGTAAAGGTGCGTGCCGGCTGAATCGTCGGTGGGAGAGAGAGCGAGAGCGAGAGAGTGAGAGAGAGGGAGAGAGCTAGCGACAGCGGAACGACAGAGAAACACCGAGAGAGTGAGGAGTGAGAGGTAGAGGGACGAAAGGAGTCGGATATCACCCCTAGTTACGAGTGGTAACGAGGGGCGGAGTCGCGCGAGCCGCACACCTGCCTCGTTTCGAACTGGCCATGGTCACTCACCCCCCCAGTTTTATCCCCCTTAAAGGCTACGCCTTGACAGACGCGTTTACGTTAAACGCGAGGGGGAGAGGGTCGCTGGAAATGGCCGTTTCGGAGGACTCTGATGGTTGATCGCTTCTGATGCTTCGGCGTGCTCTTGTACCTTACCGTTTGGGGTGTTGTTCCGATGTTAACGTCGTCGAGAGGGTGTAATGATATTGAACGGTCGTTTAATGAGTACTTTGAGGTGGCAGAAATTTCGGAACAGTGGAGTAACGGCGTGTCTCGCTCGAGAGGTGCAGCCCGATAATGGAGACGCCGTTTAGGAATGATTCAGCGCTCGCTAAATAGATCACTTCCGTCGGTAGACAGGGGAGAGCGAATGAACCGGGGAACGGGATAATTTCGTTGACCTTTCGCACCGATAATTCGAGACGAGAGCGAACAAGGGAATATTGAATAAACCAGTTACGCGAAATGAATCCGCTGTCCTCGGGAATTCGATCGAACGACGCCTCTCGTCGTTATTTCCCCGCTTCGCCGTGTCACTTAAGATTATCAATACCGTGAACGGTTTAGCAGCAGACCGGCCGCTCTTGAAAGCGTTCGAAAAGCATTTCGCTCTTAGCAACGCGCGGGGGTCGCGAAACGATTAACAAAGGCCTGCGCGAAACGCGAAGAGGTCCGATTAGCGATCGCTGTGGAAACATTCTGCCGTCGTGTCGGTGGAAGGAAAAAAGCGAGGGCGCCGCGCTCGCGAGAGAGCCGGCCGCGCGTAGAGCGTATATAATACGATACGTATATAGATGGCCGGACAGGTCTATATTCCGGCGGCTTGACCAATAACAGCCGGCGTATTTAAAGCTGTCGAGGACGCCGGTCGCGCGGCGATACCGTGGAAGCCGAGCGAGAGATAGATCGGCCGGAGGAACGTTACCGGGGAAAGAGGACGAAAAACTGTGCAGCCGAGGGATGGAGGAGAACGGGAACAGAGACGGGACGAGGATCGAGGGGGGCGGAGGGAGGAAGGGTGTACAGGTGGACGCGGAAGAGGCGGAGAGATAGAGTCTCGACAGGCGAGCGAGCGGCAGGGCGAGGGAGCAGGAAGAGACGGAATCGGTAGAAAGCAGCAGTTCCCGCTCTCGGGGGCGGCTGGCTGTTATCATGAGAAACAAGCTTCCACTCTGATTTTTTAATCCGATCCGCGCCCCCTGCCACCGGCTGAATTTTAAAATAACTGCAGAACGCCATTTGCTCCTCGCAAACAGACCGGGGTTAAGCCATCCTCTCCTCTCCTCTCTCCTCCAGCTCGCCCCTTCGCCTCGGCTCTTCCCTATCGCCTTGTCCTCCTCTCTGTTTCGCCGTGTGCCTCCGCGCCTGCTCCGCGCTTCCTCTCCCGGCTCTTTCGCTCTCTTCGCGCGCGTGCACGCCGCGCCGGAGCTCGGCCTTCGACCCTCCGCGTGCCGGATGGATAACCGCGCGCGAGGGAAAGAGAGAAACCCGCGACGGGGATGGTCGGTGTGGAAAGGGCAGCCGGAGAGGGAAGGAACGCGCGTGCGAGAGCAGCGCGCCTCTCTACATCCCCGGTGGAAGCGGCTGATGCCAAATTGAAATGTTTAGCGCCTCGTTTCAGCTGCTGCGAGTCCCGCGCGGGGAGAAACAAAGACGGATGGAGGCCGCGAACCGAACAACCGGCACGCCGAGATAGGGGGGAGAAAGAAGATAGAGGAGCCGGCGCGGAGATACCGCGCGCTAGGTAGGCCTGCCCCCGGGAAGGGTAGATAAGTGACAGTTTTATTAATTTCCCATCTCCGTGGCCGCCCCCTCGATCCGTCGACACACCGGGAACGTCACTCGCGCGGGTCCGCACACGTACGAGCGACACCCATCCCCTTCTTCTCGTTCCTCGCTCCACGGCCAGGACGGAAGAGGGTGAAAATAAAGCTCAATAATGCCGGCTACCCGTCACGGGGACTCGACAAAGGTGCGCTTCCGAGTCGACTCCGAGGGGATTTCGGGCAACGATATCTTCTCGTCGTTCGGGGTGTTGCCTCGTGACGGGGATGGGATTCTTCTGGAACGACAGTTTCTCTTCGAGGTGACTCTCTCCCCCCGCGGCGCCCCGTGGGTTTCGTTCGATTTCGAACGTTCGGCGACTCGGTGTCGTTGAGATTCGAGCGAAACTCCACGGTCGTAGGGGTTGGGAGGATAAGCAAGAGGGACGCGTTCTACGGTTATCTCCGATCGTTATCGTTGGCAATGATTAACTTTTAACAAACATGCGGCCCGGCTGCTCGGGAGGAGAGCTCGCTACACAGTGATCAACGTCTGAGGGCAGGAAGAAAGGGTTAAAGCGAGGAACTTTGGAACGAGGGTGGAAAGCGGGAGGCGGTAATGTGAAAAGGGGACCGCAACGAAGAGAACGGAGTCGAGTGGAGGTGGGACAAGGGAAAAAAACGAGCCAGAGGGGGAGTAAGCATCTCCGGAGTCCTCGGAGTCGGCCGCCGGTGGAAAATTTAATTTCGATCCCGTCGATTCAGCAGTTATACCGAAGTTTAATCTTTGATAAGGGTTAGTCTTTTAGTAATGGGATCCCGGGGGGTCGGTCGCCGCTCTGGTCCGACTCGCCGGGTTGCGGAGAGCGAGCCGGGAGGAGGGCGGAGGAGGACACTGCGCTCTCTCGACTCCTTTCCACTCCACTCCTCTGGCCAGGATGGAAGGAAGGAGCTTAAACCGTTAGATAGAGATCTGCTCTCGGGATGAAAGTAGTAGCTACCCGCTTATATCGTTCCTCTAACCGAGCAGGACTCGGACTTTTATACCGGGCTGAGCGGGGGAAGGCGTAACGAGCCTCACGATTGGATAAGTTTCCCGACACGAGCTTCCACCGGAGACTTTGCCATCTTCCTCGTTTTCTTCGTCCTCGTCCCTCCCCTCCGTGCCCTCTCGCTGGCTCGCTCGCGCGCGCCGCAGCCGCAGCTCGCGGTGTGCCTCTCTTATCCAGTTCGCTCGTATAACGTATCGCGACTTGTGTACGTCCCCGACCGCCTTATATCCGGGTCACGTGCATCCTACGACGATGAGAACGGCCAACGTCGAAGGACTTAATAAAAGGATGGACTCTAACTCTTCCTCCGTTCCCTCCGCCCGCCCCTCTTCTCGCTCATGCCGGAGCGTTTCCATTAAAGACTTTGTTCAGTTCGCCGCCTCGATTCGCCCCGCGATAACGGGGACGTCTGTTCGTACCACCCTGGAGGTTAATGCTTTCAATTTGGGGCTGGACCGCCTTCTCCTGTTAAGTTTCCGTATTTATCGGACGAAGAAGACGCGATCGAATCTTTAGTCGGTGGGACGGCGGGAAGTTTCGATGTCCCGTTGACGATGATGGACATTGCAGCAGGAACGAATGTCTCTTCGGGAAGGAGTTTTTGTCACTGAAGGAACGCTCTGATTTGATTGTTCCAGTTATGGTATGGACCTGAATGGAGCGAGACGGAAAAACGCGACACGGGAGACGACCAGTACGCTGAAGGCCTGGCTGAACGATCACAAGAAGAACCCGTACCCGACGAAGGGCGAGAAGATAATGCTGGCCATCATCACGAAGATGACTTTGACACAGGTATCCACGTGGTTCGCGAACGCCAGGAGACGTCTGAAAAAAGAGAACAAGATGACGTGGGAGCCTAGGAACAGGGTGGAAGACGAGGACAACAACAACGAAGACGACGACAGTGGAAGGAAGAGCGTGGACGAGAAGGATCGACTAGGTGAGCCTGCTTTTCATCATAGTTTCGCTAACGATTACAAACTCGCTAACCAAGACAAACTGATTTAATCTCAATGTAAACGTGAAACATTCTTCGAAACTACCTCCGCTTCGAAAGCTAAAAGAAAAATCCCTTTCTGTTCCAGACTCCAAAGACTCGGGTACCGGTTCGAGCGAGGACGGCGAGCGACCGGCTCACCGAATGGACCTGCTGGGCACCAGCGGAGGATCCGGGGGTGTCCAGGGTAGAACGGAGAGCGAGTGGAGCGAGTCGCGGGCGGACAGTGGCCCGGACAGTCCCGAATGCCTGTACGACCAGAGGGAGCCGAGGCATCCCCTGCAGCTGCAGCATCCCGCGTATCTGTCCTCCTCGCACGGCAGGCTGTTGCGCCACCCCTCGCCGGAGAGCACGTCGCCGAGCAGTCACCATCTTCCGCCGAGCTCGAGCGCGCCGTCCACGGGGAGCAGCGGCACCACGAAGCCCCGGATCTGGTCCCTCGCCGACATGGCGAGCAAAGACGGCGACCAGCAGAGTCCGACCCCCACGACGATGACGGGCCTCTCGTCGCCCTACAGCGGGAGCAGCGGCGGCGGTGGCGGCGGCGGCGGCGTCGCAGGGGGCGGTGGCGGCGGAGGGAAACTGGTGAGTCCTCTGGCGAGTCGTTTGCCGCCCCATCACCCCCTGCACCCCGCGATGCACTCGGGAACGCAGTTCGTCCGGCATCATCCGGACTTCTACCGGAACCTGTACGGCGCCTCCCACCTGGGCTCCAGCGACATGTCCTTGCTGGAGACCTACTCGAGGACCCTGGGCGGCCTGAGCGGCGTGATGCCACCCTCTACCGCCCCCAGCATACTGACCTCCTCCGCGTCGGCGGTCTCCGCCGGCGTGAACGCGAAACCGTTCTCGATCAACGGGGGCAGCAGCCTCGGCGCGCCAGCCGTGCTACTGACGACCGCGTCCTCCGGCCTCTCCCCTTCCTCCTCGTCGACAGCTTCCTCGGGCGGGTCCGACCAGTCGCCCCATCCGAGCGGAAGCCTGCCGCCGACGCAGGAGCTCAAGTCTCCTGGCCGGGTGTGATTCTCCGCGGACTCGGCGTTGGCTCGAGACCGGGACTGAAGGACGAGCCGCTGTCGCGCGGTGTGGATGACAATAATGAGAGACTACGATCTTGTAATTAGTGTACAGTAACCGACCGAAGAAAAACGACAGAACGAGATGTACTGCCCCGCCCTCGATCCCCCTCGTCCTTCGACCCTTCCTAGTCTCTTCTTCGGGTGTCCCCGTTGCCCCCGACTACTCCCGATGTCCTGTACTCGTCCCCCGTTTTCATCCCGTTCTCCTCGGAAAAAGAATAAATCGTAGCCACCTGTCCCCGCTCTCCCCGCAGAA